CCGAGTACCGAGCGTGCTTGAAACCTACTACCGCAAGATGCAAGCCTACATGACCGCCGTGCCAGGCGACGCGTTTCGGGCGCTCCCCGTTGCGACCTTGGCGCCGTTCCCGCCCACGTGGCGAAGTGACATGTACGCCTTTTATGGCGGCAACATTTTATGCTTGTACGGTGGTCCACTCCCGTTTGTGCAAGAAAGTTTTAGCACCGACGACGGCTGCGTCACGCAGGCGCCTCTTCGCGTCCCCACCAGCCGCTTCTCTCTCCTCTTTGCCAGTGCCGCCATGGCAGCGTGGAACGTGCGCGATATCTGCGCGCTCCAGAGCGACAGCCGCTGTGCGTCGACGTTGCAGTCGTTCGAGTCGCTTCTGGCGTCGTCGCCACCACCACCCAATATGACGGCCGAGCTCGCCAACGTTACCGAGGCGATCGTAGCGCTCAATGTATCGCTCATGCAGTTTGCAACACCGTTGACCAACCGCAGCGACTTTCAACTGCTGTTGCACCCGGTCCTCGCCGACGGCGCGTGGACCTTTTACGGCTGGCTCATGCTCTGCGACTGGGTCGAAGGCAAGCGCGAGGTGGTTTCGTTCCAAGGCGACGCCGCGACCATGGTCCTCATTTCGGCCGCGTACACGCCCGTGAGCTACTCGACGGGCGTCGGCACACGCTACCTCAGCAACGCCAATGGCATCTTATTCTACTTGGTCAACTACATGTCGGCCGTTCTTATCGGCGTCGGCCTCATCTCGATTCTCTACGGTCTCTCGCTGCGCGGCCAGCTCGTCGCGGCCAACCTCTTGTATTTCAACCGGTTGGTCGGAGCCGTGTGGGTCGGCCGACCGCTTCTGCTTCTGCGCGGGTTTGCAGCCACGCTCCTTTTGAGCACGTCGCCGATCGCACTTCACACCTCGTCCAACGGCACCACATCCTTTGCGATCGTCCAGCGCTCGATGTTCGACAAGTTTGTCTTTACGGGCGAAGCGTGCTGGATTAGCTACGTCGTCACGGACATTTGCCTCTTGGTGGCGTCGTCGTCGCCGCCGCGCCTCGCACAGATGGCCACATACCTCTTGTGGCTTTCGTTTTTTATGCTCGAGTCGATCTATCCGATGAGACCGCACATGCAGATCGCCCGCACGTGTAGCGCCACCGACATGGACGACGCGCTCTTGTGTGAAAGCGGCATTGTCGAGATTGGCCACCTCGTTCGCGTGCTCTGGCTCGTCGCTTCCCAACTCGTGGCCATCATCCTTGCCTTTGTTCTCGGTCGGTTGGCACACTGGACGCGTGTGGCCCCAACGACAGCGCCGCGTGGACAAGGCCAGCACCACTTGCTGGTCTCGTCCGTCGCACACGCCTTTGTGACCTCGTCTGACACGAATGTGTGGGCGCTCGATGCTGTCTCGTGCCTCCTTTGCGGCTTGGTGCCGCTCCGCTTCCGTGGCCAAGCCTATCTCTTTGATTTGCGGCTGTGGCTGCTCGTCCGTGACAGCGACAACCACCACGTGACACCGCTGGCGTCACCCCACGTCGACGCGCTGGAGGCAGTCAAACCAGTCGTTCCCACGGCCCGCAAGTGGCAGTATGAAAACAACCCGGTCTTTGCTGCCCTTGGGTTTGTCTACATCATTGTGGCCATCATTGGCAGCGTCTCGTACTTTGAAGTGTCCCGCGTCAACTTGGCCAACGATCTCTCGTGGGCGACCTTCAATATGACCGGGGCCCATGCGTTCATCGCGAATTATCTCAACGAGTTTACGCTCTACATGCTGCCGTCAACCCAGCAGGGCTTTGATTTGGACGATGCGGGCCTATCGCTGCCAGGTGCGTACAACGATTCGTCGGGCGTTGTCCTCTCGTCGCGCCTCCACCCGTCGATCGTGCAGTACACGTTGCTCAACAGCACCACGGCTGCGATCCGCGATCTCCGAAGGACGAGGGCGTGCCACGTTCCCTGGATCTTTACTGCCTACTGCTATGTCGACTTTGCACAAACTTGGAGTGTGGCCGCGACCGCGTCACGCGCGTCACGCTGCGACGCCATGGCGTCCAACGGCGCGGTCTACCTCGAGGCGATCTTGCGCAACGTGGCGTGGAGCGCCTGGCTCTCTTGTGGGTATGGCGAGGCCTTTGAGATTGCCTTTGGCAACGAGCTTGCAACGACGATGGTTGGCCAGCGCTGGCTCGCCTCGGTGCAAACCGACGCCCTTGTTCCGATTTCTGCTGAAGTCGCTCACTGGGCAATGGCTCGCATTACGTCGTATACGCTGCAGTGGCAAACCTTCAAGACACTTGGTTTGATCAACACGTATAGCATCAGCAACGCGTATGGCGAAGTCTACCCGCTGACGCTCCAAGCGACCAACGGCTCGTTCCAACTCACGCGCGCCACGTCGTACAAGATGTACTGGGGGCTGGCCAACGACTTGATGGCGGTGGCCACCAATTCAACCTTTGGCATCGCAGGACAGAGTCTAGTACGATCGAGCGCCCACTTTGCGTTCGTGAACACGTCGGCAACCTCTGTGCTGACGGCTGCCGGTGCGCTGACATCACCGCTGACCCGCGCCATGGCGCTCGTGCAAGATACCGTGCTTGGACCGTTTGGCGCGGTCGATGTCTACTATGTCCCCGTGCCGATGAGCCTCAAGGCCGCGGTGCAGCAGCTGAAGACGTACGTGCGACTACGGCTCCGGCAAGAGCCGCAGTGCCAAAAGTTGTTTGCCAACATTTCGACGATCGACTCGAACCTTGTGATTCCGGCGGCGTGGGCCGACATCGGGTTCTTCTCGACCGGCGGGCCATTGCTTTGTGACGACGGCAGTCCGCAGCCTATCTCGGCGGGCCCTCGCACGCTGCTCTCGCGAGGCACGTGCCCGACCTCCAACACCCTTAGTAGCATCGGCATGTCGGCCACATACCTCGTTTTGGCGGCCGTGCTGAGCAACCTCCCATCGCTTCTCTCGCATCCAGGCATTGACATTGCAGCGATCTGTGCGCAGTCCAGCACGAGTCCTATAGCGTGTGCGCGGTACCTCAACGCCACCATGGCCTTTCTACCGGCGTGCGTCAACTCGGGGTACTCTGCCTACACCCCGCTGCTCGCCCACGCCCGGTCGGACCTCCAAGCGCTCAACATTTCGCTCATGCAAATGGGCATCGCCAACCTCTCGGCGCCATTGATCATGTACACGTCGCAGCTCCTCGACCCGAGCGATCGTCGGTTTGACTACTTTGCTTGGTTTTATCTCTACGACTGGAGCCGGGGGACGCGCGAAGTCGTGTCATTTCAAGGCGATGTGGGCGCGATCTCCATTATGTCGGACTACCATTCGCTGGTGGCGCGCGAGGCGCAGCGCTGGGAGCTCTCGACCATCGTCGCCTCGTACGCCCGCGCGTGTGTCCAGTATGTGACCTTTGTCATGATCTGCGTCGCGATCGTCGTTGGTATTTACATTCTCTCGAGCCGGGGGCACGTCGAGGGGCTCAACATGCTCGTGCTCAACCGCGTCGGCGGCATCGTCTGGGTCGGCCGCCCCCTCCTCTTTGTCCGTAGCTTGACGGCAGTCTGTCTCCTCTCGACCGGCACGCTCGAGTTGGTGTACGATGGCGGGTACAGCTTTTTTCAGAGCACGTCCAACCCGTGGTACAAGACGTGGCTCGCGGCCAGCGAAGTCACGTGGCTTTTATCGGTGGTCAACGACCTCCTCATGGTCATCACGCTCGAGTATACGCCGTACTGCGCAACCCCCAACAGCCTCCTTGTGTGGCTGGTTGCTGCGATCCTCAGTGCTACGTACCCGGTAACCCACTCTGCGACGCTTTCGACCGATGCGTGTTTTGCGGCCGACGTCGACTTTCAGCTCATTTGCAACTCGGCGACCATTTACATTGGCAGCACGACCCGGCTCTGGACGCTCATCGGCGTCGTCGTCGCCTGCAACATAGTGGTCTACGTCGTCGTACGCATGACGCTCACGGAAGCGCCGCGCAGTGATATCAACTCGCACTTTCTCTATGCCGGTGCGCGGTACCTCTTCTGGCACTCGAAATGGAAGTACGACGAGGTCTACTACCTCGACAAAGCGTCCGCAGTCCTCAACGGCATTCTGCCGCTGCGCTACCGCGGTCGGCTCTACGCGTTTGATATCAAACTGTGGCGCGTTTTTGCACTGCCGGCGCCAGCGCCCGTGCCACGCGGCCACGCGTTTTACGAGGCGTCGCAAGCGGCACTGCCTCTAATCGAGTAGCTGCTTGCCCGTTCGCATCAAGCCAACCGGTCGCGTGCGTTGGCGCAATAGGTTGCTGAACCACGTGGAGCACGGACGTGCGAGCTGGTCCGGCTATGAAAGATTTCCCGTCGACCGGACTTCTGATTGGTTAACAATGAAACGTTTATTTATATTAAACGATCTTCATGTTTGTAGGTAATACAATAAATGAAACATGACAGAATGGCGCCGGACGAGGTTCCAAAGATTGCGTTGGCCCAGGCCTTGGCCACCATAGCAACTGCCATTTATCACGATCCAAGCAAGTAGTTGAGTCATGCAAACTACATTCTAGGAGATTTTTTCGAGGAATATCGATACCAAACGGGAGAGACCTGGTATTCCATACTCCATTTTGTCCTACACGATGATTTATACAACTCTAACATGTTGACCGACATGGAATTCTCGTTTTGCGCTCCGGTGAGACCAGTATTCCATGTACCGGTACTTCCTTTTGCTAAATGAGTCTAATTTGATGTCTCGTTGGCATGCCAAGTTGCAGCCCTCGCGGCGCCTCCAGTGCCGAGATACAAAATTGGGCTGTACGGTTCATTTTCGGACCAACTTGAATAAGGCTTCGTTTGGTGCGCAAAACGTGTTTTAAAACGTGTTTCGTGTTTTGGCCATTTCTGCATGTGCTCATGCGGAAACCATATAAACACGTTTTTCCAAAAGCGTGCGCGTTTGGTGCGCATTTTGACACGAAATGCGAGTTGGCGCTGGCCAAGGGCGCGGAGGTTACCAACGCGCTAGTGGCGTCCAACGAAGTCCGCCAGACGAAGATGGGCTCTTCCAAGGCCAACAGGACGGACGAGATTACGGCGCTCCTCCTCGAACTGCGTATCGGCGAGATCGCGCGCGGTGCTGTATCACAATGTACGTATATCTGTCCTTACAGGCGTGTACTACGTGTTAGGCCAGGGCACCGATGCTGGAGGCCTCAAGAAGGAAGCCTGGCCTCGCCGCCGCCGTTGACAAGAAGGCGAAGATCAACTACGCGAAGACACAAATATAATACAAGCCCGTCTTAGTACCCTGAAGGCCGATTATACGCGCGTGCATGCTCTACGAACCAGTTCCTATTTCGGATCTCGGGCGGCGTGGCTCGGCTCGTGAGCTGAGTGACGTAGGTGGCCTTGCGGCGACCGAGCGCGGCGAGCACCTCACCATGAGTACTCGCTAGATCGTCTCGCCGCTGTGTTGAAAGACGGCTGGACGAGCCCGAGAAGATGTAGATAGCGATGAGCACCTTCTCCTAGGCTTCGAGATTTGCCCCGTGCCCGAGACCGCGTGCGCAGAGCTCCTGCACGAGGACGAGGAAAGTCGGCTAGGACATGCGGGCTACCCTGTGGAAGCGCGTCGGGTTCGGCGATTTCACGAGCTCTTAAACGAACAGCGCGCCCGTGAGGATGGAGGTCCAGGGAGGCTGGGCCACGTACGAGCCCATGAGGACCGGCGGCACCTCGAGTGCGGCAGCGGCGATGACTCCGTCGGTGGTTGGTCGTCAATCGACATGTGAGGACGATCAGCGATCACCTATTTGATGAACCCCAACGAATTCCCATAATACCCCTTGCCCTATTCCAAAAACACGTTTTGGGCCCCGATTTGGGCCGAAACGCGTTTTCCAAAAAAACGTGTTTCGCTCAACCAAACGCGCACGAAACGTGTTTTGCGTATTTTGTGCATAAAAACGCGCGCGACCGCCAGAAGCATGAAAAACACGTTTTTCATCATGGCCTATTTTAGGCCAGAAATGTAATATGGCTATTTGTATACCCCCGGCAGCAGGTTTTTTCTC